CGATTTCCGAAGCGATTTCCGATCGTGTCCGTAGCAGCAGAAATGCCGCTACAGTCACGATCTCCTGCCAGTGGGCGAGCAAAGACGCGCTGACAGAGCCGAGATCGGCGATCAGGAACTCTATGACACTGTACGGTGTTTGATCGATGACAAATTCGGTTGGGCTTCTTAGGTGGACGTAGGAGCCTCTTGCTCAACAACGGGCAGGTACTAGTCGCGAGTTCAAAATCCTTCAGGATCGGCTCAGCCTTGGCTCCAAGAAGTAGATATGCCCACTTTTGGAGGTTGAAGGAGAGTTCCAACGACCTTAGGGAGCACTCGGCTGCTTCCAAAAGTCGCCCCATGCTGTAGGAATCAGCAGCGATAACGCTATTTGTTCCGCGTAGGCGGGTAACGTGATCCTCTCGTCGAACACGTCGAATTCGGCTTCCGAATTAATGGCCTCGCGGACCAATAGGTCGATCAGTATCGGGCTCAAAGGGCAGCCCTTCTTCATTTCCGATAGCATGGAAACAGAATCCGTGTACTATTCACGAATTCGCACGCGAACCGTGGAGCCGTCGTAGAGAATCTCCATCGACAACCCTTGTGGCGAATCGACGAGTATGCGCTTGATCGTCGCATGGGGGACAGAACCGAACGCGTCGGCAAAGTTCGACCATGCATTTACCACCTGCGTCTTCTGACCACGAACACATTCAGGGAACCCCTCAAGCGGCAGGAAGCCCTTTTGGGTTGGACGTAAACGGTCGTTGACCGAAGTCCAGCACGTCAGGCGATCAGCCAGCACAGCGACGAACAGCTTAACAACTACATCGCCCATCGCAGTAGAACGCCAGTTCCTCAGGACATTACTTCGCGAGCACTTCTTGTGCACTTCGTGATCGTATATTTGTAAAAGGCTATAAAGTGGATATGATGTATAGACTGAATGAATGTGGAAAAATTTGAAGCGATATATGTAAACCTCATTTCACTTCCTAGACCGTAAAATTTCGGCCTCCATAAATAATATTAGATGATTTTTATGCCAAAAAGAATGGTGTTAATTGTGAACTCCGCGATGCGTAGAATAATATATGATTATAAAATCAATAAGGTATATTGACAGAAAGAATGTGGAAAACATTGAATGGTCATATGAAAAAATCATTTCACGGTACTCCCTAAACATTCAGGAACGACGAAATAGTATTAGATGTTATTCATTCACAATAATGGTGTTCATGATGAACCCCGCAATGAGTAGAATTACATAAGGCCAAAAATCTATATGATGTATTGACAGAAA